TAAGTATTTGCTATTGACTGTTCAAATGCGGAGTTTTGCGCATTGTGTGTGTGTGTGCGCGCGAGAGAGAGAGAGTCACATCACAGTAGAGTCAGCTGTCTTAACCGTGGCTTGTGTACTGCATCATTACTGTGTCTGTTGCCCTTTCGGGCTTGAACTGCAGGTAAAACTAATGACATTATTTACTGTCTTTACATTTATTTTGAAAGATGAAGCTGGTGATTATGGTAAGGGGCGTTACATTTCCGACGAGTGCTTGCGGTGTTCGGCCAGTCACAATGCACTGGGTCAGCTGGCCAATCAGAGCAGACGGCGCTTGTCGGAAGGAGGGACTTTGTAGAAAACGAAGCGTTTGAGAGAGGCGGGGCATAGGAGACCTACAATAATGTACAGTATTTGAAAAATAATGTGTTTTTTGAACATTAAAGTATGTCAACATATTCTGTTACACCAAATACACAAAATAATGATCTTTAAAAAAGCATCATATGACCCCTTTAAAGCATAAAACTTTTAAATGTCATGGATGGCATGAATGTTAATCAAGGGCTTGCTATATTCCACTTTTGTAAGTTGCTTTGGATAAAGCTAATGATAATCAGCTAAATGAATAAATATAAATGTAAATATTATTAAAGGGGCTAAATGTAAAAATGTTCATGCATTAATCGCTTTCTCATTGCCAGTGTGTGAACAGCTTTTAATAAAACTTTAAAAAAAAAAAGAGTTGTTTATGAAAACCTATAGACTGTATTTTAATGCGAAGGACTCGGGACATTTTTTGCCTGGAAAAAAAAAAAAAAGTAATATTTACTCACACTCTCAAGACAGCCTTTCTTATACAATGTTCAGGATAATGCCAAAAGAGCTATTAGCAAATTAGCAAAGAAACAGATTCATTCAACTATAGTCTGACATGTCTGGGTCTATATAGTCTACAGTCTCAAATATACTTTATAATCACACTATCATAACAGTGTAATTTTAATGACCTCATCTGTTAGGACCTGGCGCAAACATATCCATATCTCTATGATCAGATGCTTTCTTAACTGCTGTTTTCTCACCGCTGTCATGTTTGTTGTGTGTTTATTTTGTCATTGAGAGGAAATTGCATGGCACATACTTACATATTCATCCAGCATCTGGATGTTCTTTAACAAAGTAAAAGAAGCTTCTTATAAGTTATACCTATTGGCCAGCGGTGTCACTAATAACAAGAGTTTCTGTATTTTTTTTTTAAAGATTTTATTTTTGCTGTTTTATTAGGATAGGACAGTATAGGAGACAGGAAGCAAAGTGGGAGAGAGAGAAGGGGACGGGATTGGGTAAGGTCCACGAGCCGAGACTCAAACTCGGGATGCCTGAAGCGCAACGGCGCTATATGTCAGTGTGCTGCCCACGAGGCTATTAGCACAGTTTGGTGTAATATGAGTTAAGTGATCAATAGATTTAATCACCATTGGTAGAGCGAAGTATTGTATTGCTTTTTTCCTCAGTTGGTCAGAACAAAAGTGGCAGACTTGTTACTTGTTCAGACTTAAGGGGAAGTCGTGGGAATGTACAGCGCTCTCTTCCACCTTCAATACCATGACTGAGGTGCCCTTGAGCAAGGCACTGAACCCCCAACTGCTCCCTGGGCGCAGCAGCATAAATGGCTGCCCACTGCTCCGGGTGTGTGTTCACGGTGTGTGTGTGCACTTAGGATGGGTTAAACGCAGAGCACTAAACTAATTCCTAGTATGGGTAACCAACATGTCACGTCACTTTCACTTTCACTTTCAGATGAGATTTTCCATCGAAAATTCTTTTTTGGGTCATACTTCCAAGACGTAGGCTAGAATCTGTGATTCCTAAGGACAGTATCCACACCGGTGCGGTGACTGACAGCCACACATACTCCTCAAAACATTAGATTCATCCGCACTGGAGCCGTGCCGGTGCACAACCCACACAATGAAAATAATTCCGCAAATAACTGCAATTGCAGGTTTCAAACACCTCCTGACCTCCTGACTCATTTGCATACCCATTCAGGCTCTAAGACATATCTGTTTATTTATTCACACCACTTTAAAATGGACAAAGTTTTTCATATCTGCCCTGCAACAAAAAATTCAATTAAAAGTTGTTGACAGATCTGTCATCTCGAGCACCAGGCCATCGAGCAGCGAGCTCTGATGTATGAGCGCAGTGCAAATACAAGAGTATATAAACGTGACTAATGCGATTCATGTTGAGAAACACATGGTTGATCATGCAGTGTGTGTCTTACAGCCCAGAATGAGTTGGCTGGAAAAGGGGTGAAAATCTGTGATGACCTCATCACTTTAGAGGTCAGGTCAGCAGATGTGTGTGACCTCACACTGATCGATCTACCTGGAATCGCTCGAGTCCCAGTGCAAGGACAACCACAAGATATTGGAAACCAGGTAGGCGTTATAATCTGATTTTGCACTCCAGATTCAGTAACATATATATCCAGTTGTAAAACTTCATGTCTTATAGATCAAACGTCTGATCATGAAATTTATTGAGAAGCAAGAGACTATAAACATGGTAGTAGTCCCATGTAACATTGACATTGCAACAACTGAAGCATTGAAAATGGCACAAGAAATAGATCCTGAGGGCATAAGAACTCTTGGTAATGAAGATGATCATCTGCACAATATCTAATATCTGTCAGCACTTTGTCAGCAAATGCACATTTTAGAGAATAACTGTTTTTCATTCACACAGCCATTTTGACCAAGCCAGACCTCATAGACAGGGGAACCGAGAAGAATATTCTGGCCGTTGTCCAGAACAAAGTGATTCCTCTCCGCAAAGGTTACGTCATGGTGAAGTGTAGAGGACAACAACAGATCGATGAGAAAATTCCTCTGGTGGAGGCGACACAAATTGAGAGAGATTTCTTCCAAAATCATGACTTTTTCAGGTTACGATCGAAAAGAAAATATAATTTGACTTTTGTTGACATTTCAGTTTATGCAGTATGCACTACTAAATACTTGAAACGTTGGGCCTATAAAACAAAATATTTACATAAGCCTCCGACCAGGGGTGCATTTCCAAAAAAAGAAACCTATGGTCTGTGCAATTACATCCACCTGACTAGTGACTGTTCTTTGTGTGAATGTCCACAAAACTGGAAGACTTTCTTAATGTATAGCCTATAAGCGGTAGGCTATTTTAGAATGGAAACTTGAAACAATGAAAAAGAAGAATTAGTGAGAATCAATAAATTACAAATAATTAAATTTTTATAATTTGTAGAATAATATGTAATCAATAAAAAAAGAAACTGTGATTACGAGTAATTTAAAATGTAATACAATCTAATAACAAGTACTTAATTTTTGTAATCTGATTACGTAATCCAGATTACATGTACTCAGTAGTGACCAGCAGTGACTACTTTCACACAAACGCATTTTTGAAGCCCTGCTGTGTTAACAGAACCAGACTTGACAACTGGTTGTCTGTCACTCCATACATTCTGAGAAAGCAACTGTGCCCTGCAGACACACGCGTCTCGTTTTCGTTGCGTGTGATTTTGGTTACTTACTAAGAAGAAACAGAATTGAGTTGTGTATAATCTGAAGGTTTTTCTCGCACAAGGCGCCCGACATATTGTATAAAAGCTGATGACCAATAATGATGAACTTTTGCATGTATTGAACTTCATGTCATGAAGACTATCCAGTGTTATGTACGTCACCGTCTTTGCTATGTACCTTGTGTTTGTCCAATCATTTACACAACAACAGCATGCAAACTTTTGAAAATAGGTTTCAAAGTGCAAGTTTTTATGATACCATTATTGTCACCGTGTAAACCACGAAAACACATTTTGTGAAAATGATGACGTCATGCGCATGCGTATTACATGTTTGGTCTATAAGCATAGGTGCACAGGCATGCAATAAAATGCGTAAAAATGCATTTTAAAAATAATAAGCATGAATCACATTTAAAGTCGTGTTGCACAAAATTAATGCAAAATTATCCGATTTGCACAAAAAAAAAATGTTTTCCTTGGTTATATTTCTGTTTTCAGACATTTTCTGCTTATATTTTCATTTTTTTGTATCCTTATGCTCTTTTCTCCTTAGCTTCCCTTAGTTTCCATTTTTAGTACATTCGTTGACGTGTAACGTCGCTATGAAGGGCCAAAAATCAAACTTGACTGAGGGCTGTGGGCCGAAATTAAATGCTGCATATATCCAACCATGTCATAATAAATGTATTTTTTAATCAGATTCACTTATATTCTCTTCATATCAACGCCACTTTACAAAGTGTTCCTTCTGTTTTTTTCTACAGACCCCTCTTGGATGAGAATAAAGCGACTGTTAAATGTCTTGCCATCAAACTCACTCAAGATCTCGTCAGTCATATTAAAGTAAGTTTGTAAATGCCTATTCACATTGTTTTTTAGCATAATAAATATCAAATGTATTGAGAGACTATGATCTCACACCACTGCAGTCTGAAGAATGTCCAAAAGCCAAAACAGTTAGGTGGCTCACTAGGTTTCAGGCTCATGGTTATATGAGCCTATTCATGCTCATATTCATATTTTTCTCTTATAACAAGTGTTCAGGAAAGATACTTTTAAAAGTAATGCATTGCAATATTGTATTACTCACTAAAAAAAGTTTGACACTTTCTTCTCAATCACAAAAACAAACAAACAAAGGAAACCAAAATTTTATGTTTATCTAAAGTCATTTTTGCTTATTAATATGGTTGAACTGGATTATTGAAGGCCAGCAGCAAAGACACTGGTTAATAAAATGGGATTCAATACATAAAGTATTTTTGTGTCATATTCTGAGTTTGCATTTAACAGTTTTTTTTGTTGATTTTGAGGAATACTGAATCTGTTTGTTTTTTTTTGCACTAAATGCATGTTGACATTTAGTCTAGAACTACAGTAAGATCATGTTCACACAGCGCACACAACACCTCTGCACTTACTTCTGATTTCTTTCAATATGGGGACAGGAGAGCTGCCAGTCAATACATGGGGAAACGACTGGTGTTACTTATATAAAAGTAACATAAAAAATGTATGTAAATTAAACAGTAATGCTAGTTACTTGAAAAAAGTAATCCGATAATGTAAATTATGTTACTTGTAATGCATTACCCCCAATGCTGCTTACAATATCCACTGTGCATCTATTGGGTTATCTACATCTGTTTTATATTCATCACTGTCAGAAATCACTGCCAAAGCTTGACGAGCAGATAAAAAAGCAGTTGTGGGATGTGAGGAATGAGCTGAAGGAGTGTGAAGCTGGACCACCACAGGACCTGAAGGGAGCCAAACAATTCCTCATTAAAGTAAGAATTGAGTTCATGCTTCTCAGAATTATTATTAGGGCTGAATCCACAGCGAAGTGACAATTAGGCAGGTAACACTTTAGTTTAGAACCAATTCTCACTGCTAACTAGCATGCATATTACTAGCATATTGGTTAATCCACCCCATACCTAAACTTAACAACCACCTTACTAACTATTAACAAGCAGCAATTTAGATTATTGAGGCAAAAGTCATAGTTAATGGTGAGAATTGGACCCCACATTAAAGTGTGACCATTAGATAAGTTATGTTTATGTCACCATAGAAACATCAGATGAAAATAATATGAAAATGACATTTTCCTCTAAATGATTTAGTATTGTGAAATTGTCAAATCAATAACAAAGTTTCTCAGAAAGAATGAAATCCACACCAATTTGAAATTTATGACAAACCCTACTTAAAAAAAAAAAAAAAATCCTGAAATGATTGTCAAATTTGCAGGAAATTAGGCAACGCATTGGTATATGCTAATGAACAAAATTGGATTCATTTTCTTAATTTAATTGGCCTGTATGTTGTAAGCACAATGTTTAAATGTCTCAAAACGTTCTGAAGACATTGCAAAGGTAACTCAAATATCTTTATTTGAATAAATCATTCATATAAAGATATTTGGGATACCTTTGGTATGAACAGCTGTATTCATACTGTGTTGATGGTTTAAGAGTGAATAAAAAAAGTGTTATAACGTCCCCTAGCACAGCACATTTGTAAAATGTAAAACAATTGAGAATTATAAGACCAAACATGGTGCCTCCGCGGTAGATGTCATCTGTAACCATAAAACTTATGGTATTATCTCTGTGTTGTCAATTCAGATTTTATCTTTTTGTTTCTAAGTTAACATTGCCTTTACCTCTTCAGAGGTTTTTAATATCCTTTACCTCTTCAGAGGTACAATGCTAATATCATTTAAAACATGCTCACGTAACAAATATTATTATTTCTTTCTCACAGATATTAACAAAATTCAATGATAAAATCAAGTCCTTATCATTAGGAGAGCTGATCATTGAGGAAAATTTGTTTGTCCAGCTTCGGACTGAATTCAAGAAGTGGAATGATGGTCTTAATAACACAAAGACGCCCTGTCAGTACATTTTCAAATTTAATACTTGCTGATATTCAGACCAACAGCACAATTGTGAAATGATATTGTTTAATAAACAAGTTAATATTGAGTAACTTACATTTTAGACTCAGTGTCACACATTTTTTGCTCTGACAATAAAGTCAAAGCAGATACAAACAGTGAAAAGTGCTGTTGGATTGAACATCAGCACCCTTTGAACCTTGTTCAGCTTTTATAAGAATTTTATTTTCATTTTTATATGAAAAAAAAAATCCCTCTTGCTCCCAACAAGTTGACAGTTCGAAGGAGCTTAGCCAGAATTACAGAGGGAGGGAACTGCTCGGCTTCAGCAACTACAGAGTTTTTGAGATGATTTTGCAGGACCGTATGGCTAAACTTAAAGAGCCAGCCATCAAATCACTCAATTCCATAAAAGGTACTGTCACACATCTTTGTTCAACTAGAACCTAAAATCAAAGGATTACTGTACACTTAGAATGTTGTTGTAGTATCATATCTGAATCATCAAGCCTAAAATATTTGTGGCTGTTTGTCTTTTTGTTTTACTTTTGAAGACATCATTCTCAAGCAATTCACTGACGTGTCTCACCAATGTTTCCGAAACTACCCTGTTCTTCTAAATACCACTATGGTAAATATTGCTCCATATTTGTGACAAAGGCCACACTGTAAAGTTTAAGGAGTGACAACCGCATTTAAATATGGAAGTGAATCCCCTAAATTACAGTTGCATGTGTGTACGGAACCGAACTCACTCTCAAAACTGCGATAATTGACATTGTTGTAACCATATCAACATTTTACTGTCTCGTGCACTTGATATCTGCTTTTTTGACTAAAGTAATATTACAGTAATATTACATAATATTACTAAGGGGTCATATGATGCTGCTAAAAAGAACATTATTTTGTGTATTTGGGGGTTTCGGTTTAAGGTAAAAAAAACCTCATTATTTTCCACATACTGTACATTATTGTTTCTCCTCTATGCCCCGCCTTTCTGAAACGCGTCGATTTTTACAAAGCTCATCGGTCTGAAAAAGCGAGGTTTGCTGTGATTGGCCAGCTATCCAGTGTGTTGTGATTGGCCGAATACCTCAAGCGTGTGACGGAAATGTTACGCCCCTCACCATACTGTGATGATGCCCTGTCCGGTCGGAGCGACGAGACAAAAACATGAAAACCCATTATAAATGAGGCATTCGTTGCATCCAGTGGGGACATAATTATGGATTATAATGACTACAGAGGCGGCGGGCTTGAGAACGGCGTGGCTGGCGATTTCGATGAAGGAGCGTCCGGAAGGACATGTGACGACTCCGGGCTGGACTCCGCTTCATCCACGGTGAAAGCCGATGTGGCGATCCACAGCCCAAAGTTGTAGTATTTCCTCAGCAACCAGAACGGATCAGCTCCAGGCATGACGAAACAGATATCGTCTTCTTTTGGAAGACCAAACAAAGTAGTTTCACTTTCACAACGAAGCACACAGCGTCTTCACGACATGGCGGCGGCAGCAACAATACTACAGCGAGAATAAAAGTTACGCCTTCTTTCTTTGCGTGAACATTTGGGCGGCATTATGCAAATCTTCCCACATAGTGATGTAGGTATGTGGGGGTGTGTTAGAACGAGCCGTTTTAGGTAGGCGTGGCTGACTCTTAACTTTTATAAAGAATATCTCTTTGGATTTGAGATTTTAGTCTTTGCAACTTTACAGATCTTCTTTATGCACCAAGAGCTTGTAACAAGAGAAAGGAACAATTGAAATCGCATCATATGACTCCTTCAATTTTAAAGCAATATTACAACGTTTTGTTCATGTTTGGGAGGTTGGTCTGCAGAGCGTGCTCTTGAAGGGTTGCCATGTCCACTTATTATAAGCATCACTTATTAACTTGTGTCTTTGGACTTATTGTTTTTGGCTCGGCTTATAAAGCAATAAAGGAGGCAAGTGCAGGCCGCTATATTTTGGTATGTGGCTTATTTCCAAGATAACACATTTGGATTTGAGTTTATTTTGAGTTTGCTCTTGTTTGTTGTTGCTGTTGTTTTGTTTATTTCTAGCAAGATCTGGCAACACTAGCGAGTCAAAGTGTACCCTGCGATTTCTTGCACCGCACATACAGAAAAGATAACTCTGATATGCATTTAAATACATCATTAACTAGTTGTTCAGTTTGATTCCATACACACTGCATAGAATTTCTAAAAAATGTTGTTGTCACTAGGTGCATTTTTCGGGAGTCAATTCGGTTGCAGAATACGTAACCTCGGTTCCCTGAGATAAGGGAATGAGCATTGTGTCAAGGGATGCTATGGGGAATCTCCTGTTTACTCTGAATACTGAAGCCTGATTTGTTCACGTTCGTGTAGCTGCATGAACAAATGGCACTTATATGGTCTATATAAGTTAGCTATGAACGTCATTTCATCAGAATCTTTTGACTGATGTGATAGTCGTAGATGTGCGTGCAGCCTTATAGCAGCACAACTGTGAAATGATATTGTTTCATAAACAAGAAGTTAATATACTGTATACTAATAGACTCAGTGTCACTAATTACTTTGTCTTATTTTGCTCTGACAATAAAGCAAGTCAAAGCAGATACAAACAGTCAAATTGCTGTTGGATTGCACATAAGCACTCTTTGATCCCTGTTCAGCTTTTATAAGAAATACATTTTTACATGCAAAAAATCCTGCTTGCTCCCAACAAGTTGACAGTTCGAAGGAGCTTAGCCAGAATTACAGAGGGAGGGAACTGCCTGGCTTCAGCAACTACAGAGTTTTAACAGAGATAATTTTGCTCATGTACCCTGAAGCCGTAGCCTAGGCACTGAAGCCTGATTTGTTCACGTTCATGTAGCTGCACAAACAAATGGCACTTCAGCCCACCAAAAAGGGAGGGGGGGGGGTCGACTGCTATGTAAGTCAGCTCTGAGCACCATTTCATCAGAATCTTTCGACTGATAGCGAAGCAGCGTATGCAACGCTCCTTCCTTTATCTCAGGGAACCAATGTTACGTTAGTAACCGGAGTGTTCCCTTTAAAACAGTCTCTCCCAAGGGACGCTATGAGGAATGGATCCAGTAGTGCCGTGCTATTAACAAAGGCAGAACGAAGCCACTCTGCGACTCCAGACGCTGGGCTGGGGCCCACATATCAAGACCTTCTCTACTTACAGAGGGGATTAAATTAAGCGGACAAAACCTGTGCCTGGAGGGCAGGGACATCCAAGTTATTAAACCAGCCAGCAGCCGCACAGATATCACTGATAGAATTTCCACTGGATCAAGTGATTTTATTTGAGAGACAATAGATAAACATACATAATGTAGCCTATTTGACAGCTTGATCCATGAAAATCTTTTGAGCATATGAACACATATTATCCTAACCACCATGTCACAGTTTTGCAGTAATGTTAAATAAGTTGGTGATCTTTTTAATACATCCAACAACTTAATCCATAAAACTTTATTCAGCATATATATTTTTTTATATATTGATTTATTACATCTATTGCCGTTGGTCGGAGTTTGTTTTCACCCGACTGAACGTGTTATTTTTCATAAAATTCTAAATCCAGTGGCCAACTTGTTTGTTGGGCATTTTTGTGTGTGGTGTGAATTGGCCTTTATGTGCAATTTGGATCTTACAGCTGCATCGTCCTTGTGTTTCTAGAATGAAGAATGGGGTTTACAGAGACGTGAGGGCATGTAAATGAAAGAGTTACTATTTTGGGCCAAATATTATTTGCATATTACTCCTACAAAGCAGTTTTGCTTTTTATTTATACATTTATTTCAGGATATTGTAACAGCCATATTTAAAGGCCTATAGCCTGGTGACTAGGGATCCAGGTCTTTCAGTGTTGTGGCTCCCAGGTTGTGATATGCTCTTCCCCAAGACATTCGTCAAGCATCCTCCCTTCAAAAACATCTTAAAACTAATTTTTTCTCTGAATATTACTCTTCAGTTCTCAAGAAACGTCTGACCTCTGTGATTGCCAACAAGGGTGTCTGCACCAAGTACTAAGTCATGTTTTGAGAAATACTTTTTTATATTTGTCAAATACTTTTGCTATTTCTAATACGAATTATTTCACTCATTAAAATGCAAATCAATTTACAATGTTTTTGCACTTAGTGATTTTATTTGAGAGACAATAAATAAACATACATAATGTAGCCTATTTGACATCTTGATCCATGAAAATCTTTTGAGCATATGAACACATATTATCCTAACCACCATGTCACAGTTTTGCAGTAATGTTAAATAAGTTGGTGATCTTTTTAATACATCCAACAACTTAATCCATAAAACTTTATTCAGCATATATATTTTTATATATATTGATTTATTACATCTATTGCCGTTGGTCGGAGTTTGTTTTCACCCGACTGAACGTGTTATTTTTCATAAAATTCTAAATCCAGTTCGACTGATAGCGAAGCAGCGTATGCAACGCTCCTTCCTTTATCTCAGGGAACCAATGTTACGTTAGTAACCGGAGTGTTCCCTTTAAAACAGTCTCTCCCAAGGGACGCTATGAGGAATGGATCCAGTAGTGCCGTGCTATTAACAAAGGCAGAACGAAGCCACTCTGCGACTCCAGACGCTGGGCTGGGGCCCACATATCAAGACCTTCTCTACTTACAGAGGGGATTAAATTAAGCGGACAAAACCTGTGCCTGGAGGGCAGGGACATCCAAGTTATTAAACCAGCCAGCAGCCGCACAGATATCACTGATAGAATTTCCACTGGATCAAGCCCAGGAGGAGGCCATTCACCTGGTGGAATGGGCTCTAACTCAAATAGGACACTGTAAGCCCACTGAGGCATAAGCCAGGACTATAGCATAAACTATCCAGTGAGGTAGTCTCTGCTTCATGACTGACAGCCCTTTAGAGTGGCCTCTGAAGCAAACAAAGTGCTGCTCCGAATGCTGGAAGTGGATAGAGTGTTGTACATACACTCTAGGAGCCCGAACCTGGCAGATTAAATTCGGACCCTGCTCGTCCTCTGAGTTGGGAAGAGCCAGAAGGGAGATGACTTATGCTCTTAAGCGACAGGAACCATAAGTCGGCTGACTGATACTGCTAGAAGGGGGAGGGCCTCATAGGGCCCTAAGGACTGTGGTTAAGTCCCCTGTTGACACAGTATGAGGACTAGGTGGATTCAATCTCCGAGCTCCCCTCAGGAACTTAACAAAAAGGTAATTTTTCGTCGCAAAGACTGCCACATAAACTTTAAATGTGTGGAAGTAAAGCGACCCTTGTCAGGCGGCACTTGCAGAAGGGTTAACGTGGATGACACGTCAAAAGAGGACGGGTCCCTACTCCGTGTTGCACACCAGTCAGAAAAGACTGACCATTTAAGGGTGTAGAGGCATCTTGTAGATGGGGCTCTAGCCTCCAAATTGGTGTTAGTCACCCTTATTGGGAGCTTTAAAGATTCCTATTGAGGTGCCAAACATGAAGAGAGGAGGTCCTTCCTCAGTAGAATTGGCCAAGGGGCTGCCGATAGCAGCTGGATCAACCCGGGGAATGAGTTCCTCCAGCTTGTCCGCTCATTGGTTCAGTCTGCCCTGCATGTGAACTACACTCAGTGAGAGTAGATTGCACTGTGCCTATAGGAGGAGGCGTTTGGCAATCCTGTAAAGGCAGTGTGACCAGTGTGACCTTGGTGATTTATAAAGGCTACCACCATCATGTTGTCCGAATGGACCAGGACCTGGTACCCTCTTAAGGCTGGTAGAAAGGTTTTCAGGGTTAGAAAAACCGCCAACATCTCTAGGCAGTTGATATGTAGGCATTGCTCTAGGCTGGACTCTTCAGGAGACGACCAGTCCAAGCCAAGATCCTCCATGGATTTCAAGAGGATACGAATCAGCTTGCTGTCCACGCTGGCCCGCACTGAATCCTTGGGAGGAAGGATGCCGGAGTCCTCGCCAGCACACACCCACTCCTCTGCATCTGAAGCTGTCAGCGACATGGAGCAACAGCTTCCTACTCAGATCCACTGAAGGAATTCAAGCTGCTCACTGCAGATGAGGGGCACTGATCCTTATGTGTAAAATACACTGGTGAGTCGAGGCATTGCGGGGAGAGTGAAGCATGCAGGACTTGTGCTGGCGTAAGTTCAAGTCAGTCCCGTTGCCCCGCTGAAATGGAAGAGCGGACGAGTGAGGATTGCCTTCATGAAAGAAGCCGATCCACAAGTGAAACAGGGTGAGACTCATGCTTTCGCAGTGAGAGCAGTCTGTCCCGGTGAGCACAGCATCAGCGCAAACGCTGCCCAGGCAAGTGACGCACTCACCGTGCCTGTCTGAGTCATGCAGGGGTTCCCTTATGAGCCTCACTCACCGCGCAACATTTGAAACAGTGTTGCAGTGAAAATTAGCTCAGGAAATGCTCTTTTAGGTCACCGAATGGCCGCAGGGGAAGAGGCGAGTAGGCTTCAAGCTTCTTGCTGCTGCTTCTCTTCAGAGTCCAGCAAGGAGATGATCTTTGCACTGAAGGAGAAAATTAGAAAATTCTGATGAAATGGCACTCAGCTAATTTATATAACAGTTGGCCCCACCCCTTTCGGCGGGCTGCTACACAAGCGTGAACAAATCAGGCTTTAGAATTCAGAGTAAACAGGAGTTTTCCCATAGCATCCCTTGACACAACATTCAAAACAGAATTTTAACAATTGTACAAAAATTCTGTCAGTTGACTTCTTGTTCCTCTGTACTTCTTCACTTGACATCATAGAACAAAATTGACAATATTCAGTCAAGCCAGCAAGCCAAAACAGAGCAGAGGATCATGGATCAGTTTGAAATGGAAAGCATGATCTACACTCAAGATCCCATCTACTTGAAGTTCTTGAATGAGATTAGCAGCGAGAAATTTTCAGAAGCGCAATTACCTGTCTTTGATATAAAAAGCAAGTACAGTGAAATGCTGCAGGCATATTATGAGGTACATCTAGTCTTCATTAATGAATTTGAAGCCTTGTTCAGAGAGAAGTATCTTAGTGGCTCTTCGTTTTCTTTCAGATTGTGGTGCAGAGGATGGCTGACCAACTGCCCATGCTGATCTCCTTCTACATGCTAAAGGAGACTGCTCAGCTCCTGTGTACTGACATGCTGAGTATACTGGAAGGGGCAAACGTGAGCGAGCTATTGTTTGAGGACTCTGACGTCAGCAAAAGACGCAAATACTTGCAATCTCGTCTGGGCCGTTTGACTGCTGCTCAGGAAGCACTTAGTGATTTTATTTGAGAGACAATAAATAAACATACATAATGTAGCCTATTTGACATCTTGATCCATGAAAATCTTTTGAGCATATGAACACATATTATCCTAACCACCATGTCACAGTTTTGCAGTAATGTTAAATAAGTTGGTGATCTTTTTAATACATCCAACAACTTAATCCATAAAACTTTATTCAGCATATATATTTTTATATATATTGATTTATTACATCTATTGCCGTTGGTCGGAGTTTGTTTTCACCCGACTGAACGTGTTATTTTTCATAAAATTCTAAATCCAGTGGCCAACTTGTTTGTTGGGCATTTTTGTGTGTGGTGTGAATTGGCCTTTATGTGCAATTTGGATCTTACAGCTGCATCGTCCTTGTGTTTCTAGAATGAAGAATGGGGTTTACAGAGACGTGAGGGCATGTAAATGAAAGAGTTACTATTTTGGGCCAAATATGATTTGCATATTACTCCTACAAAGCAGTTTTGCTTTTTATTTATACATTTATTTCAGGATATTGTAACAGCCATATTTAAAGGCCTATAGCCTGGTGACTAGGGATCCAGGTCTTTCAGTGTTGTGGCTCCCAGGTTGTGATATGCTCTTCCCCAAGACATTCGTCAAGCATCCTCCCTTCAAAAACATCTTAAAACTAATTTTTTCTCTGAATATTACTCTTCAGTTCTCAAGAAACGTCTGACCTCTGTGATTGCCAACAAGGGTGTCTGCACCAAGTACTAAGTCATGTTTTGAGAAATACTTTTTTATATTTGTCAAATACTTTTGCTATTTCTAATACGAATTATTTCACTCATTAAAATGCAAATCAATTTACAATGTTTTTGAAATTCTTTTTTCTGGATTTTTTTGTTGTTATTCTGTCTCTCACTGTTCAAATCAACCTACCATTAAAATTATAGACTGATAATTTCTTTGTCTGTGGGCAGACGTACAAAATCAGCAGGGGATCAAATACCCCCCCCCCCCACTGTATAGAGGAGAGCAAATTAACTTTAAAACAAATTAACTTTAAAACATTTCTTTGTCTGTGGGCAGACGTACAAAATCAGCAGGGGATCAAATACCCCCCCACTGTATAGAGGAGAGCAAATTAACTTTAAAACAGAAAATGGCTTTTCAGAAGTCAGAATATCAAAAGACCCACAAGTAACCTTTTTAGGATTACAAACAAATAGTTTAAATTATAAAAGAAAGTGTAAAATGACTAGAAGAGAGAATGAGACGAGTTTAACATTTATAGAATGCATAAACCCTTTTATAAATGAAAGCATGGAAATTTAGGTTATATGGTTATATTACGTAATATTTCCTTAATAAAATTTGGTTCATTTAGTTAACTCTTCATTGCTCTTCATGCTCTTCATTAATGAGTTCCATTCATACTTGTGATACTATATATTAGTTCAACAGTATATATATATATATATTTTTATATTTTGTATTTTAAAGGAATTTCATGGTACTAAAGTATATTTACCTCTAGACTATTTACCATTTATATATATGTATATAATGTATATGTGTGTGTGTGTGTGTGTGTTCTTGTTTATGCTACATTGTGGATCAAATGTCCCCACAGGGATAGTAAAACCTGAAATTTTTGACATTGTATTGTACTAAAAATAGTAAATGATGTTTATCTGAAAGTGTAACAATGCAAATAGGTTTTCTGTAAGGGGTAGGATTAGGGTTAGGGGATAGAAAATATTGTTTGGTCAGTATAAAAGTAACAGAAGTCTTTGGAAAGTCCCCACAATTCACAGAAACAAAAGTGTGTGTGTGTGTGTGTGTGTGTGTGTGAGAGAGAGTGTGTGTGTGTGTGTGTGTGTGTGTGTGTGTGTGTGTGTGTGTGTGTGAAAAAAACTACTTAACATTTACTTATAGAGGCAGATGGTGGAACGTCGTGTCTGCTGGCCCAGTTTGTGTATGTGTCTATTTTTGATGTTTTACAGTTGTATCCCTTAATTGCTGTTTACCTTATTCTGCATTGTGGCTGATTGTGGATTGTACCCAAAAATCTCTGTATTGTCATTTTTGAAGTATTTCTCATTTATGTTCTATGACCTAATAACCTTGTCAATTTTGTGTGTGTGTTCATATAGTCATTGGCAAAAAATGTGACCTAGTTTTGTACTATTCCAATGAAGTTATCATTTTCAAAACACTTAAATGTAAAATTTAAAATATAAAAAGTGACCGAAGAGCACCAAAGGGTTAAAAATAAACTACTTGCAAATGAATATTTCATTATAAAGCCTCAGAAATAATACATTAAGCCTATAAAAGTTGAATTGATCAAATAATGAGACTAAGTATTTATCAGTTATGATCAGTTATAGTTACAGAGACACACAGGGCGCAGATGATGTGTTTTGCATTTGTTTTAACCACAGACGTCTGTAACACATCTTTCAGTGTTTTTTTTAAATATATTGATATCATTTATTTATCAGGGCTCTGAATGCACTTGAGGATGACCCTCTCAGAGATCCAGAGAAGCAATCCTCTTGCAGCGTTTCAGCTCGTGAGAAAGTTAGATCAAACTTGTCGAAGGAAGATGCACAAAATGTTTGAGGAGAAGAACGCGACTCATGTATATCATTCAGAAACTGGGCTTTCTCATAACAGTTGATTAAGTTATGAATTATCACTCAGGCCATAACATGTCATGTAAAAGCCACTTTGTGAAGACTTGTGCAGTTATTGAGGCTTTATCAGTTTTTTAATAGAAGATTATCTGTGAAGATCAACTGATGGAACCACTTGGAGGAGGAAAAGCTATGAATTAAACATGATTTAAAGACGGAGGTCACTGTCAGTAATGTTTCTCATGTTTCACAGACACTTTGGCAAGCCTGAAATCTGCAGCTCAGACTCTCCCCAGTGCAGAAGATGTAGATGGCTTTGGTTAGACTGCAAGAAATGAACAGATTAGATCCGAGGAACATCTCCTTATTTTCTGGTAGGTTTCATGGTGGCTTTATTCGCTCTTTATCACCATTAAACATCATAGCTCATGTTTATGCTCAGATTTAAACAGGCAGAAGAGCCAATAGACTTACACTGGACTGAGTAATATCTAGAGACCAGAATGTAATAGACTTTGATGTGGGCACTTTTGTCTTGGTGAAAAATCTAGTTTCTACAGTATTAGCAGCTCTCAAGATTTCAGTGATATCATCTAGGCAAGGTAAGTTTACAAGAACACTAATTAATTAAGAGATTTCCCCCCCCACACTCTAAAAAATGCTGGGCTAAATATAACCCAGCGCTGGATTAAAAAGGGACAAACCCAGCTATTGGGTTGTTTTGACCCAGCGACAACCCAACAACAACCCAACCGCTGGGTAAAAACAACCCAACCGCTGGGTCAAAACAACCCAACAGCTGAGTCAAAACAACCCAACTGCTGGATCAAAAATGTATTTAATTGAGCTTCACAGTTTATAACACTTATATTTTGGCCAGCCACTTCTTTTTCTCTTTGGGATGCAATGGAAGTCAAAGAGCTTCAGTGTTGTTTGGTTTCCAGCGTTCTTCAAAGCATCTTAGTTTGTGTTCTGCAGAATTGCATAAGGTTTGGAACCACATGAGCGGCTTTTGTTTCATTTTTGGGTAGAGTATCCCTTTAGAAATGCATTGATTCTCAGATGACCTCGCAAACCAGTGCTAGTGGATGAAATTATTTATCTTCTTTAAACTTGTCCTTGTGTTTGCAAAAATGTCCATAGTGCAAACTATGCAATTGGAGGCCAGTATGAGCCGCATTATGACTCAAAGGTGCTGCATGAAGGTGTTAACCTTTTTAAATATGTGTTATTGTTATTCCCCCGGTCCTGTTTGAAGATGTGCATGTAATAGAGCATGCACTTTGTTTTATTTCATAACAAAATCTCTTCACAGTTGACAAATGACACAGACTTTCAGCTCAGAGGAGGCCGGATTGCTACTGTTCTAATCAATGTGAGCAAGTATAAGCTTACAAATAATTTCATGCATTTTAAATAATTCCCACTTTCAGATCATTGCCACTTGACGGTTTTGTTGTAGATGAGTGATGTGGACATCGGTGGGGCAACAGTGTTCCCTGACGCTGGAGCAGTTAGTTGAATCAGCTTTATATCCACACACAGTGACTTACAGTACAGCGCTGTCGTGGTTTAACCTGCTGAGAAATGGAAATTAAGTGGCAGTAAATGGGGTAAGTGTTCAGTGAAAATCAAGACAACATAACCAGGTCACAGTTCATCTCAGAATCATAAAATATCTATATTATTTCATGCATTTTAAATAATTCCCACTTTCAGATCATTGCCACTCGACGGTTTTGTTGTAGATGAGTGATGTGGACATCGGTGGGGCAACAGTGTTCCCTGACGCTGGAGCAGTTAGTTGAATCAGCTTTATATCCACACACAGTGACTTACAGTACAGCGCTGTCGTGGTTTAACCTGCTGAGAAATGGAAATTAAGTGGCAGTAAATGGGGTGTAAAAGTGTTCAGTGAAAATCAAGACAACATAACCAGGTCACAGTTCATCTCAGAATCATAAAATATCTATATATTGTGCGTAATGAGAATTCATTCTTTTAGTATTGTATCAGTACTTATATCAGTATTTTTAGTGCTGTCAAATGATTAATCGCGATTAATCACATCCAAAATAAAAGTTTTTGATGAGGTCATTCTGACAGCGGCAGGAGGGCGTGGTTACGCAGCATCATCGGAGCTTGTCGTTTTATTGTACGGCTGCTGATGCTGAGAGGTCGCGCTGAGAAATATGTAGGACCATGATTGCGGATTTGAGGTTTGGGGACCGTGACGCATCGTGGCGGATTGTTTTTTAGGTAAGAACAGCGTCTTTGAGTCGCTGCTGTTTTAACTGTACGCGCGCGCCGTCGCTGAGATGCGCTTCAGAGAGCCACCGGACAGACTGGCAGGATTACACAGAAAGGCTTATAGAAATGACATTAGGGCACGCCTAGAAAGTA